AAGTGTCAACAGGGCTTAGGGTGACCAGGACGGATTAATTAGGATATCTGGCTATGTTGACTGCTTCTAACATTCCACTCCCCCTAACTTGATTTCTAGGCCTCTTTTTTGACTTTTTTCCTAGTCTGTTAGTTCATCCCGAATCTACAACTTACATTGAATCGGACAGGGACCTGAACCACTTTCTTCTACTTGCCGCTTCTTGAGATGCTGAGGGGCCTAACATAATTAACAGAACTCTTATTGTAGAACAACAGCAGCAACAGCAATAATTATTAAACTTATTGAGAAGGCCTGTTATTGAATAATAATAGTAATCACAATATTAACAAACAGAATAATAATATAATTTTTAAAGCAATTAGAATATACGGTACATTATTATTATCATCACACACTGATAATATTAATATTATTTTACATAATGAATCGATGTGGTAACCCACAAACCTGAATGCCTTGTAGTGTGGCGTCGTAATACTTAATCTTCGCTTTCATCTCAAAAAACATATATCCCTGATTAACAACAGTCATCGTAACAAGGGCAGCAATGACAACGTTGAACACACGCTGACCGTTGGGTGCATTCAGACGCCTTTTATTCACGTCCGTCATATTTCCCTTTTCCATCTCCAAGATCGTCTAAAATGAAGAATGTCAATTTCTGTATCTAATCATTAAAACAACGTAGGCCTAAATGTTTAGCACGACGCATAAACGCGTGGGATTCAACCGCAGATCCTTAGGTCGTATACCTTTAGATCATCAAACCATCATTGACTGACCATCTTAAAAGGTAATTTAAAAAGGAAAACGGATAGGAAAATTCCCCAAACAACTTCCTTGTAAGGTGTTCTTTTACTTAAAAACCTATTTGGTGAATAGGAATATATTCTCTGCACAGACCCATGTATTAATATATTATCGAGGATGGAACTTTTCAAAACAATGTCCGACCATCATTTACCGACTATATTAAAAGGTAATTTAAAAGAAGGAAAACGGGTAGGGAAATTCCCCAACTACTACTATTTGGTCAATAGGAATATATTCTCTGCATATGTATTTATATATTCTCGACGAGAGAACTTTCCAAACAATAGATAATATAACTCGTATTATATATATATATATATATATATATATATATATATATTTGTGTGTGTGTGCGTGTGTGTGTGTGTGTGTGTGCGTGTGTGTGTGTGGGTGCGTGTGTGTGTATGAGAGCAAAGAACATCCCGAACGTGATTATTAAAGTTATTATCTTATTTTATTTTAACATCTGACAAACCAGTAATATAGATTAACCAAAGAATAAACATATGTACCTATTTTATGTATAATATTACAAACATTAAAATAAAAATTGTGTTTGAGTAGTGAATTAAATAATTATGTTAGTATAATATAGAATAAAATGTTTTTATATATTAACTCATAATAATGACCATATAAATGATAAATGTATTAATATAATTATGTACATGTATATATATATATATATATATATATATATATATATATAAAGATAGTCGGCTATATGCTATTATTTACCTATTCTGTAATAGAGTGTATCTGACGTTATTTGAATCTGTTCAACCATGAAGCCTCTGTGGTCTAATGGTTATGACGCTCGCCTTGACAGCGAGGGTCGCAGGTTGGAATCCCAGCAGAGATATTTCATTACACAACTTATCTATTGTACAACATTCGTTGATAGCTAGTATTCCACTTACCTGGTTCTGTTCTTGTTATCAGCTCACGAATTCTGATTACCCAGTTGCAATGAATGCTTCAATAGTTTACAGAAGCTTCCTGTTTGAATGGTATCTTATCCACAAGGAAGCGGATGTGGCCACACTCTAGAACTTTCCATTTTCCTAGATTGGGCCCTGTCCAGACTATCAAATGTTATTTGACAAAAACATGTGACATGCCTAAATATGGTTGATGACATCACATCATGACCATATATAGCCACATCATGACTACATATGGGCACATCATGACCAAATATAGCCACATCATGTCTAAATGGGCATAAAACATTGAAGAATATTTGTAACATTAACCGCTAAAACTCTAGGAGTCTTTAATGAAATATTGTTGTCTGTCGGATGCAATAGTAATGAAAGTTGATGGATGTAAAAAGAAAATGTTATCGTTACTTTTTATATTCAAAGATATACCACACCGTTCTTACTCATTCCCGTATGCAATAAAATCCAAAGCGGTAATGGGGTTTAGTCAATAGGTTTTCATGCTTCGATCTTCCATTCTTAGAAGAGGTCATTAATGGAGAAAGAACTCCATGATAATTACAGTGTAGGGGCGCTTGTGTTTTGACACTATTTTGTTTGGTATTAGAGAGACTCACATCATTTTGGCAATCTCCAGGCGTTACATACGCCTATTTATGCAGTTTAATATTGTTTGTCGCTCAATGATAATTATCACAATTATCGTCTTTACCTTCTACAGTATATACTAATTCATTTGACTCTTTAGGTTTAAAACAGATTTGTTAGAAATTGATATTTTTTTTTCTTAGAGGAACATTTTTACATTATATCTATATGAGAAGATAAAACAGCAAAGACAAACTATTCAATTCAATTACTTTTATTGCTTTGAAATTCATCGTTGGCCAATATCCGCTTAAACAATCATACAAGAAATTAACCAAAGAAATAAGACACATGAAGCTTATTATAATTACGACAACTGTACATTATAAGGGGTGGGATGGGGACTTCGCATGACTTAGGTCCTAATAGAGCCACAATAGACAACAGACCTCTACTCAGAAATTAAATGCAGCTGCATGAATTAACCAGAAAAAAAACACAACACGTCATTGTAATGTTCTCGAAGGTATACTGTATACGGTACCATATAGCAGCAACGTTGCAATGTTATTGACTTATTAAGCGCACTATACAAGTTCCAATGCGCCAAATTGTGGGAGTGCTCAGAAAAAGGAACAAATGAAGATAATGGTATACAAGAGAATAAGGAAGATAACAGAAAAGAAAGAACGAAAGTAGACTACATGAATTAAACAGTGAAACCACAACAGTAGGTGGGTACCCCGGTGTACTGGTCCACTCGTCGGCTCCTGTCCTGGACAGATAAAAGGTGCACCGGTTTACCGGCTGCAGAGGACCGGCTCAGGTTAGGAGAACGTTATTGAAAAGAGCAACATCTTGTCCACTGCGCCACGAGCAACGATTGTTGGAATGACGCAATATACATGGAATGATTTGATTTGATTTGATTATATAATTATAACTTTCGCGAATGTTGTTTGAGGTATAGCAGCAACGTTGCAATGTTACTTAATTGCAAAATTCTACATATTGATTGTTCTACAAAAGACGTTTCATACTTAAAATTATAACCTAAAGATCCGTACACACTATCAAATTTTATGTAACAAATAAATGTGATAGGCCCATGTCGATATTTGGGTGTTATTGTCACATAATCAAGTCCATACATGGATACATGACACAAATTAGTCACGTGAACTGTGGTAGGGTGGACAAAGCATTAAATTATTAGCTGGGATATTTGTGCTGGTAATTCCGTGCACCAGGACTCAAGCGTGCGGTGACTCTGTATGTTAGTTTTCTCAGTAACAAAAGTAAGAGATTGTTTCTCGATGTACAGCTAATCTAAAACACTGCAACTTTAGACGACCATCTACTTCCAATTGTAGCAAAGATTAATATCAAAACCTGTAAAATTTAAAAAAAAAAGTATTTAGCGTGTAAAAATAGTTTGCTTTGTATTAACTTTAACTTTCTCTTGTTATACGTTTTTACGCAGTTTTAACGTGAAGGGTAAATGTCAGATATTTTTAGTAGTAGTATAACCATAGAGATATATACCTCCAAAGTATATCAAAACCCAGAAAGTTTTCTCCTTTTTATTTACATGCTACAGAGTACGTTCATCCAACTTACGCGTCTAATTTACGCGCTGTCTCAAAGCCAATCGTAATCTTTTGGCTCAGGATGTTTGAATTTTTGAACAAGCGGAGAAAAATAAATTTGAACTCACTGAAATCAAACGCAAAATGGGCAAAATTTTAAATCTAGACAATTATTAATCTAACAGTATGTTATTTTATTTATTATTATCATTTGTTTTAAGACCATGATTGGCCAAGGATATGTCAAAAAGCGAAGTTAATCAATTTTCTCAGTGACAAATCGATTCAGAAGACAATAACTCACAAAATGTTCTGAATTATGACGCTAGGCTTTTTTTTTCGGTGATTCGGTAAACTAATTCTTAAACGTTTTAACATTAATGTGATAAAATTATGGTTTTCCTTCGTATATTACCGTATTTATTCAATTTTAATAAATGTCCTTAATAAAAGTGGCCCCTCTCTAGAGCCTTATTTAAATAAACGCCTCTCCCTCGAATAAACTTCCTGATGTGTTTATTTTTCTCTTGAATAAACGGTCCCCGGATGATTGTAAACAGTAATGGTAGCAATATTATTCTCAACACATTCTAATGCTCCACTCCTGTAGAAATGTTGTTTAACCTGAGCGGAATCAATAAGTCTATATAATCACTTATTGACACATTTTGACCGTAATTATGTGTTGTCGTTCCAAATTTACAATGAAATTGTGAGGCGTTTATGTGAGTATTTGCGTATCCATTTTACAAAAAAAAAAATGGTAAACGTCTGTTCGAATAAACGCTTTCCTTGAATAAACATCCCCATCAAAAACCGTTTTATAAAATAAACGCCACGGGGGAATAAATACGGTATTTAATTTTGACCTGTTATTAATTCTGATTTTAATTTGTTATTAATATTAATTCTAACATTCTAATAACATTTCAAATCAATTTCTGATTTATTTTTTTAGGTTGATTTGCAATTATGAAATTGGTATACTTACTTTGACAACGGCTTCCCGAATAGCATGCTTCGCAGACACATGTATAAGACGAACCAGAGGTTTTGCATTTTCCGTTAACGCATGGATTGGAACTACACGGGTCTAAAGAACACAAGACGCAAACATTACAAAGAACATAGTTAAAATCCTGATGATTATTAAAACATTGTGTTATAATGATATTTTACAAAATTTTGTATCATAAAATATAGAATACATAATTTCAAATAAGGTGTAATGGTATACTTTACCAAGTTTAATTACAATATATATATATATATATATATATATATATATATATATATATATCATTATATCAATATTGTAACAGTAATGCCTTAATATATATATTTAATATTATATATAATACATAAATATATACTACTATTAAAAATAGTAATAATAATATTACAATGTAAAAATAAGTTGTTTACTATTACTCCAACGGTAAGATATGAGAATTCGTGTGTACGGTATGTTATACAATGAAGAATGATTACCTGTTGAGCCCGGGGGCCCTGGCGGTCCACGTGGCCCCGTGCTTCCTATAATAAAACATTAATAAATGATACTTTTTATCATAAAATATAGCTGGAATACATATTTTCAAATAAGGTGTATACATTACCAAGTTTAATTCCAAAAAAAATATGTATCATTATATTAATATTATAACAGTAATGACGTAATATATAAATAATACATAAATATATACTTAGGTTATATTAAACCTAATAATGATAATAATAGTAATAATAATAACAATGTAAATATAAATTGTTTACTATTACTTTAACGGTAAAGATTATGAGAATATGTGTGTAATGTTATACAATGGAGAATGGTTACCGGTACCTTTTTGGCCCGGAGACCCTGGCGGTCCACGTGGCCCCGTGCTTCCTAGAATAAAACATTAATATAGACTCCCTTTGGACCCTTTGGCACCTTTAGCACCAGTGGCTCCTGCAGCACCTTGAATTCCTTGTGGCCCTTTGTCTCCTTTAACCCCAATGGCGCCTGTAACACCTGGAGATCCTGGTGATCCTTTGTTTCCATCAGCAAGATGTGTATAAGAGACAGATATAACAGTGTCATCACAATGGTAAATATTGGAAGAAACAACCTCTGGCAGGTCAAGAACAAACAAATTGAATAAGGTAGGACCTAAGACAGAGCCCTGGGGCACGCCTGAAAGAACAGAACATGACCAAGATGATTTGTGTTTGTCAATTTTAATGATTTGCCAATAATACATGAATTATTATACTACTATAAGAAATGATAATGATAATAATAGCAATAATAATTATGTAAAAATAAGCTGTTTATTATTCTATTACTTCAACGGAAAGGATATGAGAATGGGTATGTATGTACACAATGAAGAGATTACCTCTTGGGCCTATGGGCCCTATCGGTCCACGTGTCCCAGTGCTGCCTAAAAAATGAATAAGTGGTACTCTCTATTATTTGTATATAATAATTTATAATATTTTATATATAAAACAAAGAGTAAAACTGTTTAACATTTCAATTATTATCAGCAGACTGCTAAATGGTAAATAAACAAGAGCGAATTAAAGTGAGGTTCAAGTGTAGGTTTGATTAGACATTTTATTATTATCTGTTTCGTACCACACATAATATTATAGCTGAGCTGAAATATATAAGGGACATGATATTTCATCAACAAAGTTCATTCTTATGGTAGAATCGAATACGCAATCTCTTGCTACAACAGAGGACCGTACGATATCATTACGGATTTAAGACCAGTGTCTCCGCTTCATACATCTTGAGGGCTCACACATAGTGGAGCCAATTTTAAGCCTCGTAATAGTTTGTAAGTAGCAGCAGCTACTAAATCATAGTAAATAATATTCAAATGAAGTTGCTGCCTAATACTGGAAACATGAATAATGTCAAATAATAATAATCAAGTGGATAATATAACAAAATTATAAATCGTATCAAACACAGTTCAACAACGAAAATTCCGTAAATATTTGATTTATAGAAATAAATGAAACGTATTAGAATATTATAGAAAATTAGTGGGTTAGTACAGCTCAACAGATTGGTTAAGGGGAGTTTTACATTTTATTTTAACAACAGAACTAAATTTGAAATACTTACCTTTCGGTCCCCGTGGGCCTGTAGTTCCAGGGGTGCCTCGAGTTCCTGGTAGACCTACATAACATTTAGAGGGGGTTTGGAAAAGTGTTACAGCGTGTTACGGGGGGTGGGGGTGTCAATATTTGCCAAAGAATGTGTTACATAATACTTGAATGACCCCTTACGGCCAGGCAAAATTTTATACTTCCAGATTTTAGGAATCTGGCCGTCAAAAATTTCAAATGGCAACCCTATTTTTTCCCAATCCTTCGTGGCTGTTCTCGTAGACGGTTTGATGACGTCATAATTTACGTTAGTAATCAGAGAAACACACCTGCAAATCGATATTGGAATATTGACGGTCGCCGGCATAATAAACACTTAGTACTAATTATTTCATTTTATTTATTTCGTCAAAAAAATAAAATAAAATAAAATTGACAAACACAAGAAAACAGAGAGCAAAAAACAACACTCAGTTGGCCGGACAGGATTGCCAAAAAGTGAACTGAATCACTGTCTAGTGGCTCTCTGATGCCAATGAGAACATAAATTAGATTAGCATAAAATATTCAAGTAAAATAGGCCAATCAGTACAAATTAAAATAAAAAATACAATAAAATTTGAAAAAGAAGAATTGCAGCGAGAAACAAAAGTTAAAAAGTTCGTTTTACAATGGTAAAATTCGAGACGAAATATTAAAATAGAATTATTGCTTAGCATAAAATAGTTTTTAAATTCTGATAAAAGATTCAATTCATCTCGAACATCAGCAGGAAGTTTATCCCAAATTCTCGGAAAGTTATTAAAAACGTGAAATTTAAAACTATTAGTACGCGAGTAAGTGTTAATAAATTTAAGATGGTCAGTGTGTCGTGTATTAAAATGAATAAAATCTCGTCGAGGAATTGAGTATAAATTATAAAGCCATTTTGCAACAAAAGCCAAGCAGATATTCAAAACGGTTTTCAACAGATGTTAATCGTGTGATAACAAGACGATGTGTGTATGGGATATCACGCGAGACACACGCCCTTGTCATTCTGCATTGGAGTGCTTCAAGAGAGAAGTAATCACCTCTTTGGTGGGCAGACCAAGCAGGTACACCATATTCAATTATTGGACGACAAATCCGTTGTACAATTTTGATATAATATATGGGTCACGGTAACAGAGGGAGTACCGGTAGTCTGAGAATAAAGCCAAGTATCCTAGAAGCTTTGGATTTAGTATTTGAAACGTGCAAACCCCAATCAAGTTTTGATGTTAAAGTTACACCAAGATATTTATAACTATTTACGTTTATTTATTTATTTACTAATATCTTTAGCCAGGATGACGCAATCATTTTAAAGAAATGTTTTTCATTGTGGTCTTGGTATGTTTATATGGTATGTTTGTCCAATTTGATATGCATGAGGCGAGTTAGCAAGTCTATTTGACTTGGTGATTCTCATTGTTTTGCATTTAGTGGAGTTCAGTTGCATTTTGTTCATCAAGCTCCAGTTATAAATAATATCCAGGTTTTGTTGGAGTATTGCATTATCATTAGTGTTTCTTATATTTCTATATAACAGTGTCATCACAATGGTAAATATTGGAAGAAACAACCTCTGGCAGGTCAAGAACAAACAAATTGAATAAGGTAGGACCTAAGACAGAGCCCTGGGGCACACCTGAAAGAACAGGACATGACCGAGATGATTCGCCAATAATACATGAATACTACTATAAGAAATGATAATGATAATAATAGCAATAATAATAATAATGTAAAAATAAGCTGTTTATTATTCTATTACTTCAACGGAAAAGATATGAGAATAGGTAGGCCTGTATGTATACAATGAAGAGATTAGCCTACCTCTTGGGCCTATAGGCCCTATCGGTCCACGTGTCCCAGTGCTGCCTAAAAAATGAATAAATGATACTCTCTATTATTTGTATATAATAATTTATAATATTTTATATATAAAACAAAGAGTAAAACTGTTTAACATTTCAATAGACCTTTCCGCTAAGCTCCGCCCCTTGGATTTTGTTGCTAAGGTCCCACAAGACGGCAGTGTTAAAACATACGCGAACACGTGCGTTTGTGGGACAACACGTGTGTTTGTGAGACGCGCGCGTATTTCTAGCGTTGTTTCGATTAGTCAGTTGTTAAGTTTGATTGACACTCCGGAAAGGTCTATTATTATCAGCAGACTGCTAAATGGTAAATAAACAAGAGCGAATTAAAGTGAGGTTCAAGTGTAGGTTTGATTAGACATTTTATTACTATCTGTTTTGTACCACACATAATATTATAGCTGAGCTGAAATATATAAGGGACATGATATTTTAAATCGTATCAAGTCTATTTCATCAACAAAGTTCCTTCTTATGGTAGAATCAAATACGCAATCTCTTGCTACAACAGAGGACCGTACGATATCATTACGGATTTAAGACCAGTGTCTCCGCTTCATACATCTTGTGGGCTCACACATAGTGGAGCCAATTTTAAGCCTCGTAATAGTTTGTAAGTAGTAGCAGCAGCTACTAAATCCTAGTAAATAATATTCAAATAAAGTTGCTGCCTAATACTGGAAACATGAATAATGTCAAATAATAATCAAGTGGATAATATAACAAAATTATAAATCGTATCAAACACAGTTCAACAACGAAAATTCCGTAAATGTTTGATTTATAGAAATAAATGAAACGTATATTAGAATATTATAGAAAATTAGTGGGTTAGTACAGCTCAACAGATTGGTTAAGGGGAGTTTTACATTTTATTTTAACAACAGAACTAAATTTGAAATACTTACCTTTCGGTCCCCGTGGGCCTGTAGTTCCAGGGGTGCCTCGAGCTCCTGGTAGACCTCTGGATCCTTTAGCACCTGTAGCTCCTCGACTTCCTGGAGAACCTCTGTCTCCTTTAGCACCAGCCGGTCCGTTAACACCCCGACTTCCTTGTGACCCCTTGGCTCCTTTAGCACCAACCGCTCCATTAACGCCACGACTCCCCTTTATCCCTTTGGCTCCTTTAGCACCAGTGGCTCCAGTAGCACCTCGGGTTCCCTGAGAACCTTTAACTCCTTTAGCACCAGTTTTTCCAGTATCGCCCTTAGTTCCTTTGGATCCTTTGGCACCACTGGTTCCGGTAGCACCCCGAGGTCCTGGTGGACCACTGACTCCTTTAGCTCCCATAGCACCTCGAGCTCCTTTAGATCCTTTAGCACCAACAGGTCCATTAACACCCCGACTCCCTTGTGACCCCTTGGCCCCTTTGGCACCAGTAGTACCAGTAACACCCCGACTTCCTTGTGACCCTTTGGCTCCTTTTGCACCACTGGTGCCAGTAACTCCCCGACTCCCTTTGGACCCTTTGGCACCTTTAGCACCAGTGGCTCCTGCAGCACCTTGAATTCCTTGTGGCCCTTTGTCTCCTTTAACCCCAGTGGCGCCTGTAAGACCTGGAGATCCTGGTGATCCTTTGTTTCCATCAACACCTGGAGATCCAGTATCACCCTTAGTCCCATTGTCTCCTTTAGCCCCAGTTGGTCCAGTATTTCCCTTAGACCCTTTCGATCCTTTAGCACCAGTGGCTCCTTTATCGCCCTTAAATCCAGGTAGACCCCTAATTCCATCAGCACCTGTGGCACCTGTGTTTTTAGGAAATAATTATGATAATAAATGTGATAATAGTATGTAAAAACATGTTAGGTATATCATGACGGTATGTATGTATATTGATGACGTAATAATACACACACACACACACACAAACACACACACACACAAGTTTCAACGCCAACTTATATATATATATATATATCGGTGTATCGTACGTGATCAAGTTGGCGTTGAAATTCGGATGTTTACGTTTACCAGTATAGGCTCAAAGCTCGCATATACATTTACTGTTTAATACATTTAATAATATATATAGTAAGAGAGGAGTTCATGAAGCAAAAAATGAAAGTATGGTCGGAGAATTCTGTAGCTTGTTGAGCAATAATTGGTACTTAAAAGGATGCTTAGGGAGATTTTAAGTCTCATGAAGCAAACAAGGAGTATAAGCAAAAACGCATGACGTATTCGAACTCTGGAAGCATATAACTCTGGATAAAAATATCGACTTTTCCGCTAAGCCCCGCCCCTTGTAAATTAGGGAGATTTCGCAACCTTACTAAAACGGTAACGAATACGAATACGTCATTAGACAGTTTGGGAAAACTCCGTATCCGTATGCGTATGAATAAAATTCGCGTACTACGTCACAGTCTTTGTGTAGTGTGGCGTCAATACCGTGCGTGATACGGGTTTTCGATGCGTTTTGGCGTATTGAGCTCATTTCACACGTAAGTTGAAAAACATATGAAGTTATTCTTGTATATTTTTAAGCTTGAAAACAAAAAGGCAAGTTCTGTCAAAGCAGAACAGACTATTCAAGGCAATGCTGACAAAGTTTTGGACTATAAATTCTGCATGCAAGTGATACAAAGTCAAAATTTGGCCTGACTGTCAAATCATGGTCAAATCAACCTAGGTCTAGGGCTGCCATTTTAAGTGCTACTGCCCTCTTACGGTACGTCACATAATTTTTGCCCAAATGAAAAAAGCTACGAACTCAAACGTATCCGTATACGTGTTCTGAGACGGATAAGTATGCGTATACGTTAGTTTGCCCAAACTCTTATCATTATCGTCATTCGTGCCTAAACCATTCTTGACAATTAATATGCTGTGCGAGTTGAACATGATCCTTGATTCATGCAAAAGGCATGAACTGCCTACGTTATGACAGATATGCTATTGTAGGGAAAGGTTGGTTTAAAAAATTGATGACGTAATCGTATTTGTTATCGTTTTCGTAAGCTTGCGAAAACTCACTATTCACTATGGTCCCGCAAAACAATAACTAAAAATGTGTCTAAATCATAGAGATATAATAAGAATGGTGTAAATTAAACGTGTGCGTTGTTTGGGAAACGCGTCTGTAGACACGCGCGTATTCATGGCCCTATTCTGATTGGTCGGATGTTAAGTTTGATTGACACTCAAGAAAAGGTCCATTTGATAACACTCACCTGTATCGCCCTTTGGGCCCACTGGTCCATGCATGCCAATGTAACCTGCCAATAAAACATGTGAGTTTTCATAGAATTTCGAAAGGTTCCAGGGCTCTGTGGACACTAACAATTTTTCAAAAGTCCTCCTCTGAATTGTCCATATCAGTGTGGTATTTCTAAGGTCTTTCATGTACGCATTCATGTTATAGAGAAATTGATAGCATGGACACAGCTTAATGAGAAAACCCAAGTAAATCATAAAAGTTTTGAATTTAACTTAAGTACATTTTGAAGTAATATAAACATTTTCAACTTTAACATAGAAATTAGTGCAAATCAAATATGTTTAACCATAATTATACATACATATCTACAATCAATAGGAGTGCTTTTATTATTATTTTTTTTCTATATTCAGTATAAAAATCAGGGTACAAATCTTTGATATTCAGTAAGTCTATGCTCAAGATAATAATGTGTATGTTACAGCAATTATAAGGAAATTCATTTCAAAATTGTTTGGTAATGATTTTTTGTTTGTCATTTTCATGTGAAATACATTTTAAATAGAATCTGATCGGTGGTAGCAAAAAGTATTTTTTTAAATAAAAGTATTGAACAATAACAGACCTACATCTCTCTGTGTCAATTTTCAGCAACCTCATTTATGAATTCCAGGATATTTTTGTCGGGACGGGCGAAGGTGGAACGGAGGGTGTTGAGTAGCGTGTCAATGGAGGAGGAGATTTTTTTTTTTAAATTGGGCATTACCCTGAATGTACGCATATCTAAATATTAAATTTAAATCTTTTGCCGATAGGGTCGAGTTAGTATGTAGAGGCATGCGCTTCCTAAACCCCTCCGCCATTTAATGCATACATGCACAAGTTGTAAATTAACGTAACGTTGCCGCACCGGTTGTGGCTTGGACTCCCAACCTTGAGGTCGGGGGTTCGAAACTCTGGCTGTGCAAATCGCTTGTGTCCTTGGGCAAGGCATTTTATCTACGGTTGCCTCTCTCCACCCAGGAGTACAAGTGGGTACCTGGTAGGTTCCAACACAACCTACGCTGATTACTAGCTGCAATTTATGATTTTTGATAATATAATTTCATTTGCTAATTTAATTTGGTGTTTCAATGTGTTCCATATGTGTTTGATCCAATGACCGGGGTAGTAATGTGAAGCGCTTAGAGGCCTTGTAAAGGCATGCAGCGCTATATAAGAACGACATATTATTATTATTACCCTTTTCACCTTTCAGTCCTCTTCCTCCCGGAGGACCTGGATCGCCTGTCAAAACAATTACATAAGAAATGAAAGAGATCTTGATTGCTTGGGTACGGGTCCAAATCCAGGAAGCACCTAAAATTCTTAACAATCTACAACTCAACTCACAATCTCAATTTGTTGGCGCTTCATTTTGACTATATAATGATATAGTGATGATGATGATGAATTTTACTATTATAAATGTGTCATTTCCGGCCATTTAAAGGTACTAGGATTCAATATTTCGACATTAATTATGTCATCATCATTCCTGATGATGACATAATTAATGTCGAAATATTGAATCCCAACACGATGGCGTGTATTTCAATACTTGGAGTATGTATTATACTTTCTTATCTGAGATTAAAGGTACTATTTCTGTAATTTTTTGCACGCACCCCTACCGCCAAATCCTGCATCCGCCTCAGCACTCATATTATCACACAGCGCATTGTTCTCTTTATGTGGATATAGAGTACCTAATAACCTTAATGATTTTAATCAACTATTTAATAGTCCTATATCTAACAGAATTTCATTCCGCGTGACTTGATCTTTATGAAAATAATTGTCTATCTTGCGTCATAGGAAATGTCTCAGCACACCCTTTCGGAATAATAGACGTTAATGTTTATGTTACCTTGTTCGCCCTTAGTTCCTGCCGCTCCTTTAGTACCGTTAAATCCGGGTTGGCCTGGTATACCTATAACGAGTACATTAGATTCATTTTATGACTTTGAGTTTTTATTTTATATTGTTAAATATTTCTTCACACAATTTGAGACCTTTGAAGAGGCGATGCCAGTCATGGAATTATCATCTTCATTCCACCACTCCTTTTTGATTTGTAAATACGTAT